AAAATAGAAGACACCTAGTTAAATTTGAATTTCAGACGAACAACAAATGATTGTTTAGTATAAGTGTGTCTCAAGCAGGATTTGCGATACATTTAAATGAAGAATACTAATACTAAATATAGACTACAGAATCATTCATTGTTTGTCTGAAATTCAAATGTAACTGGGTGTCCTGTAATTTGGCTGGCAACCAGAGCCATTATTCGTAATGATTCCATGAAAGGCAAACAATATTAAACAAAATTGGATGAAGTCTGCTTACTCTTGTCTTTAATAGAAATTTATATTTTAGTCAAATGTTCTTCAAGATTCTTGTCTTGGAAATAATATTCTAAATTTTTCATTGCATTTTTCTTTTGGTAATAATAAATTGTCTTCTTCCTCAAGTTTCTCATAATAAATTTTGATTTATATTTATTTTGCAGAGGAAGATGAGGAATACAGTTTCATTAACCATCTAACAATTAAGCTTTATTTATATGGTTACTTGAATGATTGTTTGGATTGAACTGAAATTTTAATCAAAACTTTGGTCAATTTTTTTTCTGGTAGTCTTTTTGTAGGATCAGTACTTAATAATCCAAGTGAAATATTATGCAGTTGTTAAGTATAATAATAACATGAATCAATATAATTGAAAACCATAATTAGAAAAATGATGGTGAATGTCTACATGGTATAAATAATATCACTATTAAAAATATTTCTAATACAAAAATACAAAAGCTAAACTCCTGTGGTTGATACAAATAGGGCTCATGTCTTTATTCCCATTTAAGTTTCAGATATCTTTGCATATACGAACTTGTAAACCTTTTTTGCTTCATTTGACTCACACAAACATCACAATAAATAAGCTAAAATAAAAAATATCCCCCAAATACAGGAATTATAGTTTTATGAAACTTCATATCTCATTCAAAATGAGCTAGAGTACAATTGTTTTTCAATATGTTAGATTTCTTCAGAAATTTAAGAACAGCAGTTAATCCTATCCAAAAGCAAGAGAAAAATAATCAGGGGAAGAAAAAGGAGGGAAACTGAGCAAGACAGAGCAGGAGGAGGGGGGCCACGAGGAGAGAGAGAAGTTGAGTTAGAAGCAGCATTCAGGCTGAAGACCCAGGACAGCTAGGGGTGCAGTTCCGGCCTGAAGGCAGTCAGTTGGAGAATGCTGCCGTATTCAGGGATACCAGCCTTATAAATAATTGCCCAAAGAAGGAAATTTATAGTTATACATGGATTTATCATTATATATTAAAGTAATTGCTCTCTTTGGAAATTTTGATTTTATCCAAGGACTTAAAGCTCAACAGCATAACTGAGGACCAATTAGTAACTATTAACATTAGGGATGATCTATGAGAAATATTCCTGGGTAAAATGAACAGGAAGGATTTGTCACTTCCCTGACCTGTCACAGAAATGTTTTCTGATACCTATAAATAACCTTTTTATGGATAGAGGGTAATAATTAAAGTAAAGAATACTTGGCAACTTGAAACCAAGTGGTAGCTTGATGGGCTCGGATACACCTACAAGGGTTAACCTTGATATTTGCCAAGAGCAGTTGTACATTTTGTGCTTGCCAACTTCCATAATTGGGTGAGTCAATTCCTTATAATAAATCTCTTTATGTGTGTGTATCTATCTATCTATCTGTCTATCTATCTATCTATCTATCTATCTATCTATCTATCTATCTAATCTATCTTCTTTACCTATCTATACTATTGATTCTTTTTCTCTTGAGAATTCTAATTCTAATACTGCATTGAACCTTGTTTTGATCCTGATTTTCAAGGGATTCCCTAAAATGATTAGAATTTTTAAAAACAGACAAAAATTTTGGAGTCACAGAAACTTAGCTTTCAAAGAAAATTTATTTGTCCTTCCTTTTTTCCTTCCTTCATTAATCCGAAGATGGTCAGTGTGAATGTAAAATGCGCCTAATTATTCTAGCTGGGAAATGTGACAGCCATACCAAACAAGGTCTCCACACCCTGGGCATGTTCTCCTTCATGAGCATTCCTCACTTTGGCACCTCCGATGTGGGGATGGTCTATTCTCATAAAGGATGGCGCCATCAAAATGCTCTGGCTTTGTTGATCTCAAGTCAAGCATTTCTGATATAATACAGTGTCTGAAATTTTCTTCATCCTGGTCAGCCTCCTCTGAATACATTCCAGTTAGACTGTGTTCCTTATAAAACTTGGAACCAGCTCAGGTGAGAGCTGAGCAGTGCCAAGAACAGAGTGCCTATGTCTTTAGCACTATATTCTTCACAATCTAAAATCCATATTAATTTTTAAAATAGCTTTAAATAGTTGTGAAAATAAGAAAATTTATGTTATTCATAGATTTATTATTATATATTTAAGTACTTACTATTTTTTTTGGAAATCTGATTTTATCCAAGGACTTAAAGCTCGACAACATAGCCAAGAACCAACGAGTAACTATTAACCTTAGTGACGATCTGTTGAGAAATATTCCTAGGTACAATGGATGGGAAAGATTTGCCACTTACCACTTATTCTATGACTTGTCATAGAAATGTGTTTTCTGATACCTATAAGCAATCATTTTGTGGATAGAAGGTAATAATCAAAGTAAAGAATAGTTGGCAGCTTGAAACCAACTGGTAGCTTGACGGGCTCACATATACCTGTAAGAGTTAACTCTGATATTTGCCAAGAGCACTTTATGGAAGCTTTTTGGTAAAATCAAGCTAACATATGTTTGGGGGTAACTACACCCATAGGACACCACCCTGGGAGTTTAACATTGTAGATGCAAAATACAGACTCACTCAAACAATACCTTCTTAAAGGCAAAAAATTTTGGAGAATAGGAGAATAGGCCAACATTGACTGAAATTCTCTTTTTCTTTTTTTTTTTTTTTTTTTGAGACGGACTCTCACTCTGTCACCCAGGCTGGAGTGCAGTGGCAAGGAGTTTTGAGTGAAATTGGTACAGATCTAGAATCCTAGGAAAAAAAGTTCCAATTTTCAAGACAGCTATAATAGGAAAATGACTTACGGACTTGTATTAGCTGCTTAAATGCATGCTACTTATAATTCTCCAGGTAGAGGTAGAGTTTAGCAAAAAAGAAATAGCCAGGATTGCGGCCATGGAAGTACACAGCATGAATCCTCATTCCTCTAATATATCAAAAGATATAAATGGAAAACGTATTTTTTTCTTAATATGTCACAACTTTTTTTTCTTGGCACGTGTCTAGTATTTTTTGATGTTGTTGAATATTTTGAATTTACATTTGCTGAATGTTTGAATTGCAGCCATCCTTTAAAGAGCTCTGGGCTTGACTCTTGTAGGCAGGTAAATTATTTATGGTTTAGTTTGAGTCCTTCAAACCTTGTTTCTGTCTTTGTTAGAGCTTGTCTAAATTAGCTGCCAGCATAGGGATAGCATATATGGCCATTGAGGAATGCCTTCTTGGGGTCTCTATTGAGTCAAGTGGTCAAAGCCACTCAGCACTGGTAGGTGAAGACTTGAACAGTTATCAGCCTTCTGTGTGTTGTAGGGCAGTGTTGTTTACAGATTTCCAGTCATTCTTTGCATTAACACGCTCACGTTACTATGAAGCAAAGACTCAGGGTTCTTTGGGCAGCATTTTTTAGTGTGTGTATTGGGTAACATTCTGTTCTCCAGAGTTCTTCTGGAACTTCTGGAAATGTCTACCTCCTCACAACCCTCCAGTCCAGTCTCTGTCTCCTCTGCCCAAGAATACTGCTGTCTCATTTTTAGGATTCCCCTCCCTGCTTCATGTTCAGAAATGTGCTTCTATGTATAAATCTGCTGTGAACATAAGAATAGCCTTATTTTCTTTCTTGGTCAAAGGGATCATACTTGGTCAAATGATGACTGTTGTCTAATATCTGCAAATGTTGATTCTTATATTTTGTCCATAGGACAAGCGGAGGGCAAAATCTAAATCCCATTGCTCCATCATAGCTAGCCAGCAGTAACTACTCAATTTTTTAGAATTACATGTTTAATGAACATTTTCAAAGAAGTTCCATGTATCTTAAATCCAAATAAGGTCTAGATTTAGCCATACTTGTGGTCTCTCTATGTCTTCTTTGCATGTGGTCCCTTTCTCACTCTATGTGTGTCTCTCTCTCTTTCACACACACACACACACACATACACACACACACGTTCACTGACACATACACTACTGAGGCATTTTAAAGCAAATTTCCAGATTTTTTATTATTTTACTGCTATAAATTTAGTATATCTACCTCTAAAAATGTGGACATTTCCTTCCTTACCCATAATGTCTTTATCACATTTATCAAAAAATAAAGATATTTCTTTGGTACCATCTGGTATTCATTTCATACTTGAGTTTCTCTGATTATCTCAGAAATCAAATTTTACATTTGGTTTATTTGAAGCAGATTCCAGAAAGTTCATCCATCATATTTGTTTGTTCAATCTCTTAGGTCTCTTTTAATATAATACAATCCCCCCTATCATTTTTTTAATGTGCCATTGACTTGAAGTAACTGGGTCAGTACCCTTGTAGAATGTAACTGTTTCTGGAGTTATTGATTGCTTCATGTGGCTATTTAACTTGTTCCTCCATGTTCTCAAATGACTGTAAACTTAAAGCAATCTCTAAAGGATTGATTAGATTGAAGGTTAACTTTTCAGAATGCAGAACACTGATGGGTGGGGCTGTGTACCTCACAGCATGTCCGGCGCCCCTTCCAGCCATGCTGACACTGATCACTGGCTTCAGGGTGACACCTGGCACTGCCTTCAAAAGCTTGCCCTCTTTCACCCATGGATAATCTGAATTTATCATTAGTGTGCAAAATGGTTATTTTCTTATTCTCTTATTTCTTATTTATCAGTGGAAATTTTTCTATAAAACTTCTCTCATGAGCTAGTAGTTTTTTTATTACCTTCAGATACATTTCGTAAAGGACAGAAATATGTCGATTCTTTCCCTTTATTTTCCCACTTAGAGAGTGAGGAGTTGGTGGCTGTGGTGGACCCCAGGATGCCCAGGTCCTTTAGGCTGGGACGGTTCAGCACAGGAGTCTCCTCCTCCCAACCAGAATCTGCAGCTGCTTCCTGACAACCTTTGCTGACGACCAGATCTCACTTTGCCTGCACCACAGTGGACCAGAGTGCATCAGAACAAATGCCGCCAAGTCCTTCCCCATCAATAACCTTAACCAACAAAAGCCAGGAATGGGTGAACCAAGATCCAAGAACCTTTGCCCCTAGGTGGGACACCTCCAAGGCACTTGTTCTACACTGGTTTCAAGGGTTCTCCAGCGGGGTTAAGGTCCGTTGATGATAACCAGCTTAGTAGCGGACACTCTATAAACTTCCTTTCTCCATCACTTCCCCACTCTTGCTAGTTGTTTCTCAAGTAAACTACACACAAATCCTTGCCCTAGGGTCTGTTTTGCGGGGACTCTTCAGTGATAAGTAGCACCTTTGGGTACCCTCACACCGTTTCTTTTTCTTGTATCTAGCTCTTTCTCTCCTATTTTAAATCATAACAGTCACCTTATGGGCACTGATGCATTCCTTGTATTTCAGTTTATTACAGTCATTTTGAAGATACTCAAATTGTCACACTTTTGGTCATTGGCAGCCTTTGTCATGTTGTCTCTTTAATTCTTCCCTCACACATTTTTTTAAGAAGATTTTGTTTTTTTAGAGCAATTTTAGGTTCACAGCAAAAATGAGTGGAAGGTACAGAATTCCTATATGCCCTCTGCACCCACACATGCACGACCTCTCCCACTATCACATCCCCCCGCGGAGTGGTGCACTGGTTATCACTGATGAACCTACACTGACACTTCATCATCCAGAGTCCAGAGCGTACATGACGGTTCACTCTTGGATTTGCGTATTCAACAGATGTTGACAAATTCGAAACGGCGTGGATCCATCATGATGGTATTACACAGAGTACTTTCACTGCTTTCACTGTCCGAAAATTTCTCTTGCTCTATGTCCTCATCCCTCCCACCTCACCCCTAACCCTTGGCAACTGCTGAATTTTTTTTACTGTCTCTATATTTTTGCATTTTCTGGAATGTCAAATAGTTGGAATTATACAGTATGTAGTTTCTTTGGCTGGCCTTTTCTCATAGCAATTTGCATTTAATGTTCTCTCATGTATTTTCATGCCTTGTTACCTCATCTCTTTTTAGGGTTGAATAATATTCTATTGTCTAGATGTACCATAGTTTATTAATCCATTTACCTACCAAAGTACATCTTGGTTGCTTCCAAGTTTTGACAATTATACATAAAGCTTATATTAACATTCTTTTCAGGTCTTTGTGTGGACAGATATTTTCAACTCACTTGAACAAAAACCAAAGAGCACAATTGCTAGATTGTGTGGTAAGAGTATGTTCAGTTTTGTAAGAAACCGGACGACTGTGTTCCAAAGTGGCTAGACCACTTTGCATTCTCACTAGCAGTGAATTCACATTCTTGTTGTTCCACGTCCTGGTCAGCATGTGGGGCTGTCAGTGTTTTGGATTCTGGCCATTATAACAGGTATGGAGTGGTAACTCATTGCTGTTTTAATTTGCAATTCCCTAATGGCATATGATATTGAATATCTTTTCATATGCTTATTTGCCATCTCTAGATCTTCTTTGGTGAGGTGTCTATTCAGATCTGTTCCCCATTTTTAAATCAGGGTTTTCATTTTCTTACTGTTGAGTTTTAAGTATTATTTGTGTATTTTGTCCTTTATCATGTATGTGCTTTGCAAGTATGTATTCCAAGTCTAAGGCTCGTATTCTCATTCTTTTTATTCACAACTCTTTTTGAGATAGTTTTAATTGAAAGTTAACACACATAAGGAAAGGCACATAAATCATAAATATACAGCTCAATAAATTATCACAGAGTGAATCCAGCCTTGTAACTGACACTTTGGAAGTTCTCACAATGCCCTAAGTATTACTCTCTAGGTAACGTCTACACCGAACTCTGTGCTGAGTTTTGTACCATAGACTGGTTTGTCCTATTTTTTGAGATGGCGTCTCACTCTGTCACCCAGGCTGGAGTGCAGTGGCACGATCTCAGCTCACTGCAACATCCACCTCTCAGGTTCAAGCGATTCCCCTGCCTCAGCCTCCTGAGTGGCTGGGACTACAGGAACACTCCCGGCTAATTTTTGTATTTTTAGTAGAGATGGGGTTTCACCATGTTGTCCAGGATGGTCTTGATCTCATAACCTCGTGACCCACCTCCCTCGGCCTCCAAAAGTGCTGGGATTACAGGCATGAACCACTGAGCCCGGCCCAATTTTTAAACTTTATAGAAATGGATGCATTCGATGTCTGGCTTCTTTCACTCAACAGCATGCTTATGATATTTATTCAGGTTTTAATGGATAGTGGTAATTCAGTCATTTTTATTGGTGCATTTAATCGTATGAATGTAGCAGGCTATGTTTACCATTTTTCTGTTGATGGACATTTAGGTGTTTTTCTAGGGGTTATCTAATATCCCTAAAATTATTATTAATGATTTAGCAATATTTTTAAGGACATAAATTTTAATTTTTTACTATGTAAATAACTAGGAATAAACTTGCCAGTGATAGAATAGTTGTAGGGTTTTATTGTATAAGAAAAAGCAAAATGCTTTTCCAAAGTTGCTATGACATTTTATGTTCCCACTGGCAATAACATTCCTGCCTCTATGCATCTTTGTCAAAATTTGGTATTGTCAGTCTTTTTATTGTAACTATTCTACTGGGTATGACATAGTATCTAAGAGTGGGCACAGTTTGCATTTCTTTGATGACTAGTGATGCTGTGTACCTTGCATAGATGGTTACTGGCAACTCATATTTCTTATTTGAAGTACGTGTACAAGTCATTTGTCTATTTTTAATGGGTGATTTGTCTTTTATTGTAGAATTATAGCAATTTTTAATATATCCTGGATGCAAGTCATCTGTCAAATATATGTAATGAGAATATTTTTATCTAGTATATAGCCTTTCTATTAATTATCGTACCTATTTATTTTATTCAGAAGTCCTTTTTCAGTGTTGTTGAAGTCTAAGTCATAAATTGTCTTTTATGGTTATTTGTATTTTCTAAGAAATCCTTGACTATCCCAAGGTCACTACATACATGAATACACCTCACACTCTACATAGGGGTGTGTGTGTATATATATATATATATAAAATACCTATATAATACACTTATATATAAGTGCTTTGATCTCCTTTTCCAGTGTTGTTGAAGTCTAAGTCATAAATTGTGTTTTATGGTTATTTGCATTTTCTAAGAAATCCTTGACTATCCCAAGGTCACTATATACATAAACACACCTCACTATATAGGGGTGTGTGTGTGTGTGTATATATATATAATACCTATATAATACACTTATATATACATATGTAGGTATATTAAATATATGCAGAGTATGTATAATGGCTTATATATACTCTTACTCATCAATATATTAACTATTTTAAGAGCTCTATAATTCTATAATTTATATGCCATAAATTTATCCATTTTAGGTGTGCAATTCAGGTTGTTTTTAGTAAAATTATAGAGTTGTATATCCTTCACCATAACCCAGTCTTGGAACATTTCCATCACCCCAAAATGCTCCCTCTTGCTAATCTGCAATCCATCCTCATTTCTACCTCCAGCCCTAGGTAATTACTAACTGCTTTCTGTATCTATAGCTTTGCATTTTGGGACACTCATGTAAGTAGAATAATATAATACCGTGTAGGCAGAATTTAGGGTGGTCTTCATGACCCTCACTCCTTGGAGTTATAATCATGACCATGGTACTTTTTATGATAAAAGTGAGATTATTCAGGTGGACCTAAGCTAATCACATGAGGCCCTTAAAAGCAGTGCGCTTCCTATGGTTGGGAGAAGAGGGAAAGGCAAGCACTAAGGAGATTAGCTGAGCCATTCCTGGCTTCTGAGATGAAAGAGGCCCCAGTCAGGGACTGAAGGGTAGACTCCAGGACCTGACAGAATTTCCTGCCAAGAGCCAGCGAGTCAGCGAGGTGCTCAGTCTTACAGCATCAAGGAACTGGGTCTACCAGAAGTTTGGATGAACTAGAACGCAGATTCTTCCTTGGGGCCTCCCTTTGAGAGCCAGCCAGGCTGACCCTGGATTTCAGCCTTGCAAGACTCTGAGCAGAAGACCTAGGAAGCCATGCCGAGACTCCTAACCTGCAGAAAATGTGAGATGATGAAGCGGTGCTGTGCCAAGGTGTGATGTGTGTGGTCATTTGTTACGCAGCAGTAGGAAACTAATGCAAACATGAAGTCTTTTGCCTCTGACTTTTTCACTTACACTGAAGTTCATCTATGTTGTAACATGTAACATGTTGTAAATTTTCATCCTTTTCGTTGCTGAATAGTACTTAGTATAGATTTTAGTATTTCAATAACACTAAGTTTGAATAATGAACAATATACAAAGAAAAACTTCAGAGTATGTATGCTATAGTGGGAAAACATTCTTTGCATGTTCAGAGGGTGATAGGGATAAACACACATTCAACAAAGATAAATGTCGTTAGGTTTTAGATTTATAGGTGTAGCTTTTCCATTTAAGTCTATGATCAACCTCGATTCATCTCAGGTATGGTGACCACAAAAATGACCATCGATTGGCCAGTTCCTAACAACAACAACAGCAAACATTTAGAGGTAGTGGCTCTGGTCTCTGAGAGGTACAGGAAAATTCATTGTTAGAAATATGTATTTTAATTAAAATACTAGAATCTGGTCGATAAACAAGACTTGCTTTGTATTGTAAGGCTTTATACTTTCATATCCCTATAATAGTTAATTTAAGATCAGTCTAAATTTTTAGATAATATAACCTAATTACAACATAGAAAAGACTCACAATTTACCTCCACGATTATGTGTGCCAAGTTAATCTCATGAGGTTAAAAAAAAAAATAGAGGATATACAGTTTGCAGTAAAGATGGAATAAGAAAACATTTTTGAAAAGTGTTGACTAAATGTTTGAAAAAACATATTGAAAAGTGCTGACACCAAAAATTGACGTCCAAAATGGGAATGTTGTTGATATTTAGTCCAGAACCATATGAGTCTTTTCTGCTGTCACAATACTTTGTTTCTGAAGAGGTATTTGTTTCACTTTTTTACACCCAGAGAAAAAAATAATGTGAATTAGAACCTGAGACACGCCCCTCCACCAGTTTGGAGTTGTATCAACACTGTTTGTTGAAGGGATTTTCCTTTCCTGTTAGACTGTTTGATGCTTTTGCAGAAAATCAATTTTTCTATTACATATTAATCTGATTCTGGACTCTATTCTGCTTCATAATATATTCATTAATCCTCATTCAAATCTTATCCTGTCTTGATATGTTGCTTTATCGTAAGTCTTGAACTCAGTTGAACTAACTTGCTCACTATATTATGTTTTCTAACATGATTATCGTACATATCTCACTTTAGTTAGGACTTCTTAAACTGTACTCAACAAAGTATGAAACTCCTTTGAAGAGAGCTTGAAAATCTTCTGGTGGATTTATTTTTGATCATTTCATATATTTGAGATTATTGTAAACAGTAAATTGTTTTGCAATTTTATTTTCTAATTGTTTAATGCTTGTGTATAAAATCATAACTGCCTTTTGTATATTGACCTGTAATTTTGCCACTTTGTACAAATCGCTTATAAGATTTAATATTTTTGGTAAATTCATTTGAATTTTCTACTTATACAAACATATTATCTGTGAATAAAGCCCATTTCACTTTTTCTATTTCAATCTCTATACAGTAATCATTAAGATTTTTCCAAACGTGATATTGAGATAGAAAAGTATATTTGGAATAGAAATGCTGTCAGATTTGGCCAGAGAGCTTCCACCCCCACCGAGGAAGCTTTCCACTTTGTTTTCTCACGCAGGAGGTAAATATCTCAGTTTTTTATGTGATTATTTTGTGGAAGAGAGAGATTAGGTAACATAACCAAAGTCGCATGAATATTGCATTTCTGGACTGGGATTTGGATGGAGTTTTTTCTAATTGCAGAGCTATTTTGCATTAAAACTCTGATGAATATCAAATCTGCCATTTTGTGGTAATAGCCATTTTTAAAAGTTGTGTGCATAATGGGCATGTTTCCTGCCTTCTATTTTATTGATAAGAAACTGAGACGATGGAAAAACCTCCTATCATACTGCCATTAACCATTGTATGGTATTCAATCAGCTATAGATCCACCCCAGCGGACATCGACATTCCTTCGTGGGCCTCACGTTTAAATATTCCTAGTACAAGTCCTTTGACATGACTGAATCATTAATGAAACAGCTAATGTACAATAAGCACTACATGGATCTGCAGCTCTGATTTGCGATGTCAGATAAGACCATCGCTGATGAGCTGCGCAGATTATGGGCGTGAAACAATGATGGCCACATTAGTCTGATAGGCTACTGGGGAATCTTTGTCCACCTATTTGTTTTTTGATTTATGAGAAGGCATTTATCAAATGCCCTTTGGGCATCTAGCCAGCAATGAACATAAATTTAAAACACAATAAACCCTTCTTCTCTGTAGAAATTTTTTTTTTTCTGACATACTGAG